AAAGGTTTATGGGCACAGTGGAAAAGCCTTACGCTGCATAACGGACTTCTGTGCAGGAAATGGGAATCAACAAACGGCAAGGACGAGCATTTGCAATTGGTGGTGCCTCGTTCAAAAATAAGGGATGTATTAAAAGCGTTCCATGATGGATCTTCTGGAGGACATTTGGGAATTAGGAGGACTTTGGTGAAGATCAAGGAGAGGTTTTATTGGTTGCATTGCAAATATGACGTCGAAGATTGGTGCCGGAAATGCACTAGTTGTGCAGCTGTCAAGGGTCCACAAACAAGAAGCAGAGGGGCGATGAAAATCTACAATGTTGGTATGCCTTGGGAGAGAATAGCCTTAGACATCGCTGGACCATTTCCAATCACTGATTCGGGCAATCGCTACGTTTTAGTGGTTATGGATTATTTTACAAAATGGCCGGAGGTCTTTGCCATACCGAATCAAGAGGCAGTAACTGTAGCCACGAAGTTGGTAAACGAGGTATTCACCCGATTCGGAGTGCCCTTGGAGATGCACAGTGATCAAGGACGGAACTTTGAATCCCAAGTTTTCCAGGAAACTTGTAAACTTTTGGGAATCCATAAGACTCGAACGACCCCTTATCATCCACAGTCAGATGGAATGGTCGAACGCTTCAACCAAACATTGGAGCGACACTTAGCAAAAGTGGTTGACAGCCATCAGAGAGATTGGGACACTTACATACCTCTCTTCTTGCTTGCCTATCGGACTGCTGTACATGAAAGTACCGCAAAGACGCCTGCATTTGCAAATTTTGGAAGGGAATTGAGATTACCGGCAGATCTTGTATCGGGCTGTCCACCTGGTGACTCTCGCACCGAGTTTAGCGATTACATAAGCGAGTTAAGGGCAAAAATGTTGGACATTTATGAGCAGATCAGGGAGGCCGGTCTTCAAGCTAGTGATCGCGCAAAGACGCGCTATGATCGACGAGCCAATTCTGTTGGGTTTGAAGAGGGGTCATTGGTCTGGCTTCATAATCCAGTCAGAAGGAAGGGAAAATCTCCAAAGCTGCAACCGAGTTGGGAAGGTCCTTACGAGATAGTCACGAAGATCAATGACATTACTTACAGAATTCGGAAGTCTTCAAGGAGCCCTTTGAAAGTTGTCCATATAGACAGGTTGGCGAGGTATTACGGCAGCAACGATGCTCGGGACGAGCGAATCTAAGAGGGGGGCAGTGTGACAGAAAACTCTTTGACATCATGACGTCAATGGATGGTTGTCAAACGTTGCCTAGAGATTGTAAATTTCGTCGTGAATTATCAACACGAGTTGGTGTATCGGTAAGGCGTGTGGATTACACCACAGAGACCCCGAGTTCGAGTCCCGCCGTAAACATGAAGTTTTTTAGTTGATGGAAGTTTTGTCGAACTTTCTGGAATATTTGAGTGAAAGTAATGAAAAATTAAGGAGCGAGAAGGAGAATAAATAAAAATGAATAACGAAATTATTTGAAGGTTCTGGAGGCATGACGATCAAAAAAAGAATAACGAAATTGAATGTTCTAGAACCTGACCGGGGGTATATAAGCGGAACTGCGGCTCACCGCTGGCAGTTGAGTTCTAAGTCTAAAGCGATTCGGAAGAAAAGGAAGAAGTGAAAAAGAAGAAAAGTGAGTGAAATAGTGAAGTGCAGTGAAATAGTGAAGTGCAGTCAGTTAAGTGAAGTTAGCGTGAACGGCAAAGTTGTGTCAGTCGGCCGGACTCTGCTGAAGAGGAACGCCGATAACTTAACTCCGTGGACGCTGTAACTTAAGCGCAATAGAAAGTCTGAAAACCGGTATTAGTGTTTCATTTCATCCAATCCCGTAACCCAAGCCCGCATAGTCAGGAACGTGACGTCAGGCACGTAACAATATATTTACATTATTATTTAGGTACGTAATTTAGATTTTATAGAAGTTTATTTATTGTAGATTAATAATGTTTCGATGACACTGGACTTATTAAGAAACACAGTATTTGAAAAATAAGTTTAAGGATCTACAAAATCTCAAAAAACAAAACTTTTTTTAGTTTTAATGTTCTACTAGTAGAGAAACCGCAGCAGAAGATAAAGAAGATCAAAACTGAAATAAGGTCAATTGGTCAAATTCAATAACTAATTCTTCTACAGATAAATAAAAAAAAAAGTTTTTATTGCTAATACTTCAATAGAAAAATAGCAGCTACATAGCAAATACATACAGAAGAAACTTATACACCGTTTAGAAGTAATTAGAAAAATAAATGAGACATCTAAACAAGCTCGAAACATGCGTCATTAACTAGTCGGATTACTGCCTGGCCTAAATTCTGAATTACGTATTCACTAAAGATTGATCGAATTACAATAATAATATGTCTGATCTGGTAAGGTAGCCTTAATTGGCACATAAGTAAAACGTGGATCAAGCTAATATTGAGAAATGATTTCTATAGATCAATATTGATATGTGATCAAGGCCAGGACCAAATTTACGTCTTTTCTGAAGGGTAGAAGTACAAGTGGAATCATTCTATGTATGCCAGAATGTAATCTGTAGGTACTGAATATCATTTAAATCTATTATGTTTTATTACGTGGAAGAGTAACCAACTTACATCCGTCCATCCATACTTAGAAACAGTCGCGTTTATAATAATCAGAATTTATTAAAAATAACGACTTACTCCCGTGATTTAAGCGAGGAAAGCTCTATTAGTTTCAAGTCACAACGGAGCTCTTAGTCATGAGCAGCGAGCGTAGCCGATTTGTACTACAGATAACTAATATCATCTTTACAATGTAAGTAACCTGTAAAATGACAATAGAGTCCCTTATTACACGGTTCTCATAAGAGATCTGGTGTAAATTCAGAGTTATTACCATTATTAGGTATATGCATCTCTTTCTAATTTTCTTACTCTCTGTCAGGACATTCATGACTATAACATCGTGATCCAGAGTCGTGAACGCAATCACTAGACCAAGGTGCCAACGAAGAAGACAACAATACCTGACCTTGATACAATGCACTTCAATAGATACAAGTTAAAAAATTATCGCCAAAAAATTCCACAGTTAGTTAGCAGATAACTGAAAGATTACGTAACTCGCAGTATTCAGTGTTTCGGTAAACTCGCCAGTTATTTACCAAACACGATGTAAACATTCACGCATGCGCGGTTCGAGGAAACGCAAGCGCACAAATGCATAACCGCGCATTTAGCGTGCGCCGGCGCACTAAATTCAATGTTTACTTTTATAACGTTTGCACACAAATTTTGGATTTAGAAAATAGCATTTCATTTTAGAATACTAGGAGTAATTGTTTTTTAATTCGAACAACACGGTAAAATTGCGAGAGAACTAATTCCCATTATTTCATCACCGTGATCTACCTCTTCACCTTGGCAGCATTATCGGTGACTCCAAGTTAAAGGTGTGATAACGCTATCGATCGTCACAAATGGACTTAGCCCTGATTAAAACAAACATTTGGTAGTTTCGTGCTACGCCCAAAATTTGTAAAACTATGAATGAAAATTGAACTTTAGGTTTTGAAAAATAAGATCGATATCAATGTTATCATTGGTTTTGGATATGGGTTATTTTGTAATGCGGTTTATTAGTATTGTATTGAGGTTTGTTTTACTGGTTGTCAACACAGAGGAAGCCAGAGAAGTATTTAAGTAGTATACTAGGTGGAGCTGTGGTTTTTGCTTATCGGTACAGGTATCTGAGTTTACAGTTTGTGTTTTTATCCAGTATTTAATTTTTTTACGACAAACGAGCAGACGAATACTTTGAAGGTAAGCAATCAGGGCCGCTTATGACCGCACGCAACAACGGAGGGTTTACAAGTGCGTTGCCGACCTTTTTGGGGATTAGCGATTTGAAGATTTTGGGATTGGGCCTCCGGTAGCCACTTACACAACGCTATGGTTGTTTCACGCTGGTTTTTCTGTGAGGCCATGGTATCACTCCATGTGATCCATTAGATTGGACTAATTATGGAACAACTATATAAAATTTCTTGAAAAAACAACTAATTTTTCTATCTCAACTTCAAGCTCCAAAATGTCGCTACACAAAATTCCATCATTACAGACTCAGCAGTTTCGAAGCAAAAGCGTAAAACACAAACAGTCAAGCAAACAAACAAGACCATACTATATGAATTGTATCATAATGTTATTTTTAACGACCTACCACAGTTTGCCTTCAATATAATCAATAGTAATGTTATATCCATTATACAATAATTTCTATTGATACTGCTTGCTATAAATAGTCGCTAACGGTTTTCAAACATTACTGTAGTCAATACGACTCTATGTGGGTAGTCTGATAATAGATAAACAGACATACGTATGTATGTCCGTTTATTATATATGTATATGTATAATATGACGTACTGTATGAATGAATACAGAATAGATTGCCGTATAAGACCAAGGGTCGTGGTGGCCTGGAGGATTCGAAATCCGGCAGGTACCAATGTGACATCTTTGACACACCGACATACAGTGAAATCATACATCATGTTGAGATCTGGAAATCACCAATCAACCTTGAGCACGTGTGATCAATGCTCAAACGTAGAGAAGTGGGCTTCGTTCAGCAGTGGGCACCTAGGCTGATGATTTGGTATGGCCTGATCTTCAGTGACGTCAGTCAGCCACGTGATTTGGTACAAAGGTAATAGATGACGTACGTAATCTTATATGTTCTAAAATCTGAAAGACCCTAAACTTACTAACTACCAAGGGGATATAAAAAATATGCATCTTCATATCAAACATTTTAAAAATTGCTAGGAGTATTACTTCTGAGTTGCACACGAAAAGCCTAGGCTCATTCGGAAGCAGTGGATGAAAAAGAGATGACGATAATTATTCCAAAAACGAAAATCCTCTTTGAAATATCCACAACTTAAAAATGCCGATAAATGCACCACATGTCTATTATGGCAAATTTAAAACCGTCAATAAAGTCAGACCTACCTTGAGGAGCAATGATATATCTTTCGCTTCGCAATGCTGTCAGCTCGGAGACGAGGCGCCGGGCATCAGGAGCTTCTGTGAGGAGACAGACCTGGTCCAGGTCGATATCTTCCACTGTGATACCTTTTGTCACCGAATCGTATATGAAACCTAACTGTCGGCTGTAACAATGAGAAAAAAACATGTTTATTAGCTGAGGATAAGCTCCGACTGTTGACAATGGACGTTAAAGATCAATGGGGCAATATTCATAAATGTGAAATGGGGCAATTTCAACCTAATTTACCGATTCCATAATTGCCAATAATAGCACGAGCTATGGTAGTTTCGATAGTTTGTCAACATTCGCGTTGTTGACGAAACTGAAAGTAGATTTTGGCGCAAATTAAGCAAGCATTTCCTTAACTCAACTTATACCTTTTCGATAAGGTTCCTCTATTAGTTGACATGCGCATGCTGCTCATTATAGACCCCAGTCGTAGCTTGAAACTAATCGAGTAAGTTCGAAAAGTGACGTGTGTCAACTGTGAACCTAAATCTGTTTCCTAATCAAATTGACTTTGTCATGGCATCACGCGTGAACGGCTGGACCAATACCGATAATTACTTTTATTCTGATGAATGAAGAAAAAAATTCATATATCAATTTAATTTGAAAAAAAGCAGGGGCTACTTTATGATAATGATGACAGAAGCTTAATGTAACTCATTAAATTTCATAATAGCTAATTTATTACTCTTTATTAAATAAAGCAAATATTATAATTATAAAGACTAATAAATTATCATAGACTAATTAAATTAAGCTCAATTAGCTTTGAAATGACATATTAAAACAAAGAGATAATTATTGTTATCACAGTGCGGCTGTCTGTTTGGAAACTTGTATTGTTATTGGTGTCAAAGATCAAAGTATCATTGCGGTTATCTGTTCGGGGATGCCGAAAGGACCGTCAAAGTGTCTGATCCAAACTAATATTATATGTAAATGCGAAAGTAACTCTGTCTGTCTGTTTGTCTGTTTTTTCTTCACGCCTAAACTACTGAACCGATTTATGTGAAATTTGGTGTAGACATAGTTAGCAAATCGAGAAAGGACATAGGATAGTTTTTATACCAAAAATCTGCAGGAAGTCCCTATTCCACGCGAACGGAGTCGCGGGCTAACTTGTGATTATATATGTGCATGGTACCTTTGCATATTGATTATTTTGTATTTCGATAAAACAAACGGAAATTGTCTGTTAAACAAAATTATGTTTAATTTATTCGTTCGATAATAAATTCTTCTTCAACGAGAGTAAATGGCATTTCACCAATCAACACACGACCATGTTAAAAATGTATTTATTTCTTGGATACGATTTGTCTAGTGCTGTCTTTTTCTCTTTCCGAGTTATATAAGTACTTTCAACACATATGTACGTACGAAAGCATCGTGAGGAAACCTAGACCTACAGTTTCTAACTATAAGTTTGAATTCGCCAATCGGCCTTGAGCAAGTACGGTAATCGTTGCTCAAAACTTCTCCGTGTGAGAAGAGGCCTTTGCTCTGCAGTGGACACTTATAGGCTGATGATTGGCATAGGCATTTGCTTTATATTAGTAGTAGCCACATTTCCACGTAAGAGAACTTGTATGTATTTATTTATATAGCCCACGTTACCCACATAAGTGTAGTTTTAATCAGCCAGAACATTTTTAATCATGAGCTGTCTGTCTTCCATTCATTCGTGTTCATTTAATTGTTTTGTTATAACATTATGCGTGTATGCTCGATTCATAACAACACCGTATCTGACAAATAGTGAATAACATAATTTAGCATTTTTCGATTACAATCTTAGTTTTACTTGTAGTATTTTTTTTAAACTTTCCCTAACACTAGGATTTTCTCCTGTGTCGTGGGTGCATGGGTGCAGACAAGAAACAACAATTAATTGTGGATCACGCAAAGTGTTGTTCCGTGCGGGAACCGAAACCGCGACATGTTGCACAGTAGCGAATTGCCCAGCGATTGTGAAATGTGTAAATTTTGAACAATATTTTTTTACTGTCTTACTTTGGAATAACGAAACAAAAAGTAGCAAGCATTTGTTATACTTTGAAAAGAAAGCTTTCCTTGAGTAAAATAATGAAACAAAGTATCTGTTTATATTTACCCTATTGAAAACTTGTTCAACTCCTGTAGGTAATACAAGAAGTTATTTAAATTTGTTTGTTATTGGAACAAGAGCGCTTCCTAAAAGTTCTAAAAGTATCTAAAATAATATTGCACCAGAAGATTTTATTGAAGGATTAGAAAAGGAGATATATTATCTACTTTTTTATGTGACAGGTCGGCAAACGAGCGCCGCCCAAGGACACCCTCAACACCAAAGGAGTTACGAGTGCGTTGCCGGCCTTTTAAGAATAAGGGTTTTGGATATTTAAGGATTAGGGAGGGATTCGGGGAGGGGAAGCATTGGGCCTAACACAACGCTTTGGTTGTTTCACGCCGGTTTTCTGAGAGACAATGGTATCACTCCGGTCGAGCAGACTCACTCCAGCCGAAGCTTGGCTCTCCCACACTTAAAACTCTTACGTTTACTTTCACAAACTATACTTTTATGGTATAAATATTACACCATGACAGAGAATGCCTAACAGTTTCATAGCACGAACAGTTTATTTCCATCGTCGGAACTCGTGCAATATTGATTCGAAAGTTAATTGAATGAAACGACAGTTAAGAGCTTAATTCTTTATGAGACCATGAACGTTACCTAGTTGGAAATGTTTGAACCGAATAGTCAATGCTTCCATATTTGACTACACACTTGACGCGGCTGGGCAACGTGTCGCGTGTTCCATTCCCGCACGGAACAACTATTTGTGTGATCCACAAATTTTTGTCCGGGTCTGGGAGTGATGTGTATGTGAAATTGTATGTTTGTAAACGTACTCACGACACAGGAGAAAATCCAATGGTGGGGCAACGCTTTTAGTTTTCAAAACGACGAGTTTTAACGACGGATGATAGAGTGAATGGAGGACTAAGTATAAAGGCACCTAAGTATTGATTTAGATGTCTCTATTTATATGTGAAATATATATAGAAAAATGGTATTTAACAATAATACTAGCGGATCACTTGATGGTAAGCTTGTTAATGTCGTGGTGGCCCGGGTTTGAAATCTGGCAAGTACCAGTGTGACTTTTTTCGAGTTAAATGTTCTTTCTATGATTATTTAGACACCACTGACACCCGGTGTAGGTAAACATCGTGAGGAAACCTGGACTTATAATTTCTAATTATAAGTTTGAAATCGCCAATCCGCATTAAGCAAGCGTGGTGATTAATGCTCTAACCTTCCTAAGCAGTGGGCACTTATAGGCTGATGATGATGAAGCTGTTACAATGCTGTTTTATATGAAAGAAATTTTATAAAATTTTATCACACTTACTCTTACAATATTATTAAAAAAAGCAAATAAAGACTAATAAAAAAACCAAATAACTCACAATAATAATTGTGTTACAAAGACAAGAGAGTTTCTAAAGGTTGTAATATCATAATATCCAGCTTAAATAATTTATATTAGTACTAATTCATGTCACTGCTCGATTACCTAAATAAATAAAACCCTTATTTTAAACTAAAAACAAAGGGGTTTTCTTTTAAGCATTATTGCCACCAAGCAACTATTTTAAAACCGCACCAATTTCATTTAATTGACCTCATTTCTGAACGACAATGCGACTGTCATTAAATGTCAAAGTTCGTGCATTCAAATGATGACTCATTATGCATAATGTAAATTAATTAAGAAGTGAAAAAACGTATTACCTACATTTTATCAGTAAGATCATTAAAAAAAGAAATAGTGCACTGCTGGTGCAGTATCCATTCACGTGTGGAGGTAATATTTATATGATCAGCACGTCGATTCTATAAAATTTGTTTGATTTTGAATCGTGTTCGAGTGCGAAGTGAGCCTCGAAGTGACAGGGTAATTAAATTTTTGAATGCCACTTTTAACATCATTTCATACTTTATCTTTCAAAATGATGCTGTCAATTTAGTTTAACTCGCAAGTGTAGCGCTAGTGTACTACTACTCACGGCGGATTCAGATTCGAAGTTTAGAATGAAGTCTTACAGAATCACACTGCTGGTCATAGTCATAGTACAAATATGTGTAGGTATATTAAAACTTTTGAAGGCAAATGTACCTACAACTAAAGAGTAAACAGTTATTATCAGTCTATACAAGCATAAGTACAAAAAAGCCTATGTGCCTGGGTCACGAGTTAAAAAAGACTGCACCAAATCTGTTATGGATTTGTACCTTTGAGTTCTTAGTGGCATCGTTTAAACTGGCGGGTATCAATAAACCAGTTTCCCTGTTATATGTAGGTACTTTCTCAGATTATTTAGACGCCACTGACAGACGGTGAAGGAAAGCATCGTGAGGTCCTATATCAACAGTCCGCCTCGTGTAAGCATAGTGATAAATTTTCAAAAATTCTCCGTATTTGAATAGAGCTTTGCTAAACACTTATAGGCTAGAAATAGTTCTAGAAATTCACCGGAGAACATTTATCGAATCGCACACCTGGATAAATAACAATTGCCTATAATTATTATATTATTTTTATTAGAACTATTATATCAAAGACAATATTACCACAGTTGACATTTATCAAAAGAATTTCTCAGTGAAAGAATTATATGTAGAAGCAAATTGTTATTTAAAACTTGATATAAAATCGATAATTACTTCAACTATGAACAGAGCCGACGTTTTTATCTTATCAATAAAACACGTGCACTGCATCGATCAACTGACAGATTCGAAACAATGTACTATTATTAACATTGACGTTGATTATGTATCAGGTGGAGTGATCACTTATTAATCGGAATAATTAGATGATACCAACTTTAGCTCACATAGGTAAAACTCTTTCGTTTCATCTACATAGGTCAAAACAAATGGAATATTTCAGAATAGTTTCATATGTATACACAGTTGTGTTTTTTTAAAACGAATGTAACTTTAGAGGTCCATTCCTTCTTCCCATCCCAAAATCAGTCCCCAGTCCCTAAATCTCCAAAACCCTAATCCCCAAAAGCAAGTACTCGTAACCATCAGGCAGCCCCATCATTTATCGTGCT